TGAAGCGTGTTAAAAGGTAAATCATGAAACATATGAAACACAGCTCTGACAGTAGTTTCTCACCTGTCACACAGTCGTGCATGAATAAATCCAAAGATAACTAAACTCACAATGATGAACACGGTTACACAAATCAGTGTAAGAGGAAGTGTTTCTGTTCCAGACCTGCTGCTTAATTCTGTATGAGGAGAAAAGCAGTTGTTAGAACAATGAAAGGAGTATTGGCATTACTAATGAACAAAGGTTAAGTGTGATGTATGACTATTGACTTGTAAAGTTAACAAATCCTGAAGGTCACCTTGTAAAATCAGTACAGACTTTATATTGCTAAATAATTAATGGTTAGAATAAGAACAATCTTGTTGTTTACCTTGTTTACCTTCCACAGTGACATTAAGATGGAGAATATTTGTTCCATCAGGAGTTGAACACTGACAGGTAAATGGTAAATGGACTGGTTCTTATATAGCGCTTTTCTACTCATCTGAGCACTCAAAGCGCTTTACGCAACTTGTGCATTCACCCATTCACATTTTTCTAAGTCCTTTATAGCTAACATTCACACACATTCATACTCCGATGGATGCAGCGGAGAGCAATTTGGGGTCAGTATCTTGCCCAAAGATATTTGGCATGCAGACTAGGGGAAGCCAGGAATTGAACCACCAACCTTCCGACCAGTAGATGACCTGCTCTACCACCTGAGCTACAGCCACCCCCCCACAGGTGTAGCTCCCACTGTCCTGTGATGTTAAATTGATCAGGTGGAGAAACTCAGTCTGATTTTCCTTCATCAGTGTGAACCTGGAGTCACATTTGTGCTCAAAGCCCCGTCCATATTCATACAGCAGACTACAATTTTCTCCTCCACTTCTCTGAGTTGTGATCTTACAAACTATCAGCGTGATGATTCTCTGTGTTTCACTGGGACATATTTGAGTGACATCTGGTTGCTTCCTATTGTTTTCACCACAGTTTCTACAATAAAAAAAAAACCAAAAACAAAACAGAGGCTGGTATCATTAAAAAATCTGTTACTTTATGAATCAGATTTTTACGTTACCTCCCCCTAAATCTTCTGAGCTTGCAGTTAGTGGTAGAGGAAGAATTAAGTACAACTTCAGTGCATCCATATTTGTCCAGGTGTCAGAGTAACAGTGTAACTGCTGCTGACAGTACAGATGATGATGTACTGAAAAGAGTTATATAGACCTTAAAGTAGCATCACTCACAGAGGTACATGCTGATGAGGGTATTTCTGTAAAGGAAGTGCGTGTACATGACTGCCTGTTCCTTTGTATTAAAACACTCTTCAAGTGAAACGCTGAGCAGACTCACATACAAACATAAAACATACTCATTTGCTCATTTTCATGGCAGTGAGTGTAATAATAAAAGGTAAAGAAAAATAAAATAAAAAACAGTGCCACACTTTATGTGGCAGCCGGTAAGACCAAACTGTGCTTTACTTGTATCAACCTTTTCTTTACCACCGGCCTGACAGTTTCATGAATGCTCTTTATATGACCATAACTCTTTACTGTTTGTGATAAAGACACATTTCAAGTAGTTTCAGAAAGAAGAGAAGCTTTAGTGGCATATTCAGTGTATCACTGTAGCATAAAGCATTCACACAGGTTTCAAACGGTTCATTTTTATGTATGAGTCATAATGCTAAAAGTGACTCTTTGGTTTTTGTGGTCTTCACATGTTTAGAAGAACTTTGAGCTAGAGCACTGTGCACTCAACAACGTGATGCTAAACATGTATAGATACTGCAAATGTTTCTGAGCTTAAACATTACACTGAAAAAGGAGATGTGTCAGCATTATTGAAATATAAATTTAAATATATGCAAGTTAAAAATACTGAAGAACGGATGTTTTAAAACACCATTCAACAGAAATATGTGGAGCAAGCAAGTAATTTTTCACTTATTCCATTTAGTTTGACATTATCTCACTGTGAATAACTGAAAGCAAATATTTATACAGTCCCAATCAAAAATTTAAGACCACTTGAAACATTGTAAAAAAAAAAATTCATATTTTGCATAGTTGGATCTTAACAAGGTTCCAAGTAGAGCTTCAATATGCAACAAGAAGAAATGGGAGTGAGACAAAACTTTTTTATGAGCAGGCAATTTATTGAAAACAACGCTTAAACCAAAACAGGCTGTTTTACAGATGTTCAAAAGTTTAGGACCACATGCCTTTAAAAGGCCAAATCTGTGCAAGAATGTGGATTCATTGTCATTTACTGTCAGGTAGTCACACTGTCATGACGTTCTGATGGCAAAGGCAAAACAACTTTCCTTTCTTGAACGCAGTTGGGTTGTTGAACTCCATAAGCAGGGTCTCTCGCAGCGCGCCATCGCTGCTGAGGTGGGATGCAGAAAGACAGTCATTTGGAATTTCAAAAATGAGGGTTATGGATCAAAAAAGTCAAGTGGAAGACCCAAAAAAATGTCTCTAGCACTGAGCCGGAGGATCCAACTGGCTGGCTGTTAAGACACTGGATGATCCTCTATCCAAATTAAAAACTGACGCTGATTAAATGTTATATGTTTTCATACATTTATCAACATACAAAGAATGCAAGTGTGTTAACTTTGTTCAAATAAAGTTTTCAGTCAGTTAAAGTCAGACTGAAGCCA